TCTGCTCAATTTTCTTTTTTCTTTTAAAGAATTTTTATTTATTTATTTGAGAGAGAGAATGAGAGAGAGAGAGAGAGAGCATGAGAGGGGGGAGGCTCAGAGGGAGAAACAGACTCACTGCCGAGCAGGGAGCCCAATGCGGGACTTGATCCTGGGATTCCAGGATCATGACACGAGCCAAAGGCAGTCGCTTAACCAACTGAGCCACCCAGGCATCCTCTGCTCAATTTTCTCAGCATAGATTTTACTTGTTTATTTGTTTATTGTATGTCTCACCCCCACGGTGAGCTCCTTAAGTCCCAGAACTTTGTCTTATTCACCGCTCTATCTCTGGGTACTAGAAAAGTACGTGGTCTCTAGCAGAAAGTCAGCCAATTATCTGTGGAATGAATGAATGAATGAGGCAATGAATGAACACCCATATCTTTAAGATCTCCCAGTAATCTGAAGGCCTTAGGCCCAAAGGGGACGACCCTAGTGAGACCTAGCTCTGGTCTCTCCTTCACCTCCCACCCTCCATACTGCTTCACCTTCTCAGGTTCAGGGCAACAGGTACTTGCTGCCAGCATGTTACAATTTCTGGGCCACCGGTACAAAATTCTGCTGGGTGCTAATTTTTGTATTTAGCATCCTGCTATCTCACAAACAGAAGAGGTCAGGGATAGGTTAGACTAAATATACTGCTTAACCTAGATAATAGTACTGACTCAGTAACATTTGTGTTGAGGTGTTTTCCAAGGAACATTGCTAAGTTTGCACTTGTTCATCTACCATTTTTTTAACTTCTATTATGGATTTCAAACATATGCAAAACTAGAAATAGTGGTAACGCGTCCCATGAACCTATTACCCAACTTCAACAACTGCCAACATTTTGCCAGTTTGATTTCTCCTATCCCCTGGTGGTCTTTGCAACCCCCAGTAAATATTTCATCTGGCTGTTTTCTTGAGAACTGGTCTGTCTATAACAGACCCTGGCCTGTTACCATTGTGTTCTAGCAACTAGGGCAACCAATCCCTCTAGTCTTACCAGATATACGGTAAAAATGAGCACTCACGCCCATTCCCCCAGCCGACTAATGAGTGAAAAAGGAAGTGTCTAAATTCCAGACTGTTTAAATCAAGGGACTTGCCCATTACTCCTCTGCAGGGATTTGGGGATGTGGGGGTTGTTGTGGCTACAAAAAGAACACAGACGCGAGCTGTTTTTACTTGTTTGTACCTGATGCAGAATTTCTGAGTGAGTTCATTCAATTCAGTCAGTATTTACGGACTACCTCAGAATATAAGGGACCAGATTAAGATGACAGAAGATAAAGAAAAACTCTGTTCTCAAGGAGATCGCCGTGGGGTTGGGGAGTGGGTGAGAAGTAAACAAATAACTAAGATCCATGGCAGAATACGCTCTGTGCCCTAAGAAAGGTTAAGCAAGCATAAGGCAAAAGCTTCTTTCAAAAATCAATTTGTAGACCCCAGGGCTTACCCCTTCCTTAACTCTAGGTTTGCCCTCTGCTGTTATTTATTGCTATACAGCCAATATAGGAGACCTGGGAATTTGGTGACCTGCAGAGTAGACTCTGGGATGTGGATCTTTAATGTCACATTTTGCTATTCACCATCCAGTGTTCCGGTGGGAGAGAACTGGAAAAGTCCTCCCAGAGCTTGGAAAACAATGGGGCTAATTCAATGCCGGCAGAAGCTAACACCCAGAGCATTCTACCCTGAGGGCATATACACCAAGCAGCTTCAGCTACAGAGGAGGATCGAAGAGGATCATGGGAGTGTGTCAAGGAGACGAGGCTCTATCAATTCAGAAAGATTTCCAAGACCTCCTCGCTAAAGGACAGTGATCTTGGTGATCTATGATCAGAAGTTCCTAGAAAAGAGTGTAGTTCTTTGGACAAACCAAAGAGGTCAGTGAGGTTTGGCCAGACAGTGCTAGGTATGAAGGTAGGAGAGCTGGCCACTCATGGGGCCCTGGAGTTAGATGCACAGAAGAGTGGAAGCAAGGAGAGGATGAGAGGGACATTTGCATCATAATCTATGTTACCGAAATTGGTGAGGTGAGGATGGCTGGGAGAAAAATAAGAGGAAGCACAGGAAGAGGCACTGTGAGAAGGGGCAGGGATGCAGGGAGAGGAAAACGGGGGGAAGACAACTCCGGTTTGAAGAGGAGCTCACTGATGACGAGGAGGATGCCACGGGATCAGGGAATATGGGAGGCAGGATCTTTTAGGAATCTGTGAAGAACGTGAAGAGGAGGGATCTCAGAATGGGAGGGTATATGGGTTCACGTTGGGATGGAAGGGGCTCCTTCCACTGAAGCTGGGGGAAGGAAGTCACTGGATAAAGAGCTACTTAGATGAAGGCTCTGGGGAACAGGACTTGGCTGAGGGTGGTAGAAGGGAGGCAGCTAGAACACTGAGAAGAGACTGAAAATAGGAAATCGTGCGAGGAAAGACTACTGGGCCAGAGGGTTTGAGAGTGTCTGAACTCCTGGCAGGGAAGGGACTTAGCAGGGTAAGTGGGTTTGGGGTAGAGTGCCTGTAAGCTGGCAGCCCCTTTAGGGTGAGATCGTGGAGTGAGGGCTGTGAGAGGATGTGTGGACAAAAGATGAAGAGAGGTATTAAGGTGCAGGGGTCTCAGGGCCCGTGGGGTGGAAAGTCATGAACAATGGGTTGAGGAAGTCACTAAGCCATGGGGCAAAGAGTCACAGAACCCTTGGGAGTCACGGTATGAATTAATGTTGGGCTTAGGAATCATCAGAAAGTAAGGAACAAGGGGCTCAGGGTGAGAGGACCTGGGAAAACTGCAGGTTTGGGGGCGAGAGGTAGTGGAGCAAGTGGGTTTTGAAGGCTGTGGACTCAAAAACTTGGCTCTGCTACTTACTGCTTCAGGTTCTTTATTTATTTGAAACCAAACCAAACCAATAGAAATGGGAAATGGTGGTGGATATAGTAATAATCCCCTCTTGGCGTTGTCGAAAGGTAAATTTAATTTATACACAGAAAGCACGGCACACAGTAGGTGCTCAGCCAATCATAATTAAAGAGGGACGAGATAAAGAATCAGAGAAGGAGGAGGCCACAGCAGAGATTAAGAGGACGGGGATTCCAAGAGCTCCGGGGTAGAGGAGCAATGTAACGCATGGGCCCTGGCTGGTCTGCTGAATCCCTGGCACCCAGGACAGAGTAAGACCCATAGGAGCAGTTTGTATTTAAGGGTTCCCATGGGCCAGGCATGGTGCCGAGGGCTTTGTATGCATCTTCCAGGCAAGATTATTCCCCTCCCTTAGCAGAGGTGGAGGCCGAGGGTTCAGACAGGCTAAATGGTATGAAGAGCCAGAATCAGACCAGAACCGAGGTCTCTTATCACATCAATGCCCCTAGCTGAAGTGCTCTGCTATCTTGCTTCGCCAACATGTTAACTGACGGGGCCTGGTCAAGGGAAATGGGTATATGGACTATTAAGAGTGTAGGGGGGCATGGGAGTGAGGGAATAAAGTTCATGAAGCAAGTGGACCCTGAGGTGAGGTTACTAGAGAAAACTTCTAGCGAGGGTACAAAAATGATTGCAAACAAATATTATCTTGACTGAGAATTGCAGAATTTCACAGCTGGAAGGAAACTCTCAGATCACTTAACCCAGCCTTATCACAATACAGAAGACAAGCTGAGGCCCAGTGAGGAAGGGGCCTGTCCCAGGTTTCCAAAGCACAACGGTGGCAGAGCTGGGACTTGATGGGATCACACACTCAATCCAGAATTCTTTGATGCCTCCAACTACTACTACTTCATACTCATCTCTACATCTTCCCGGGCACCAGCATGGTGCTAGGGCACTTCTAAGTCATGTGCTGATTGACACTGAGGGGCTGAGGGTGCAGAGAGGGACGTCGGTGGGGGTGACTTTAGGATGAAGGGGGGAGCATGGAATGAGGATCATGAGGTTACAGGGCAAAGAAGGGATTACTAGATATTGGGGGTTATGTAGATGACTGGGTGGGAAACTATTGGAGTAGGGCTTAAGAGTTACCAGGAAAGGTTTGAGGGGAGTCACCAAGTTTGTGGGCGAACACGGGATAGAACCGTGGGAGTTACCGGACCAATGGTGTGTCATTGAGAAGGTTGGGGGGTCACCTACGAGGAGTGTGGGGTCTCGGGGCTTGAGTCACTGGATTAGAACTGAGGGAGTCACTGGGTTGGTGGGTCCCTGGGCAGAGCTGGGGAAATTCCTGGGTTGGCAGACTCAATGAATAAGAATTGAGGATTACCTGGCAAGGTTTTAGGGTCAGTGGGTGGGGTGCAGGGTCACAGAGGTGGAGGCGGGCGTGAGGTTTGGGAGTCGGGGTGGGGTTTAGAAGTCATGGGGGAGGAGTCGCAGGGCGGAAAGAAGGGGCAGGGATGGGGGCCGGGGCCCCGGGTGGGGGAGGGGTCAGGTCGCCGTCTAGCCGCCCGGACGCTGGGCTAGGGCCGGAGGAGGGTGGGCACGCCGGGCTCGGGACCTTCCCGGGGCCCTGCGCCCGCCCGGCCTCCCACCTGGGCACGGTGGACCCACTCTTCCCGCAGCCACCAACCTGACAGCCCCCGAGGGCGACTCCGCCGACAGACCGCCATGCACCGGGCCCCGCCACCAGCGCCGGCCCCGCAACCCGCCTGCGCCATAGCCCGCCCGCCCGCGCGCAGCTTGCCTCGCGCGATATCCAGGTTCCAGGGCCGCCGCACTTTCCTCTCCTCGCGGCGCGCCTCTACCGGGCCCCGGAACCCGTATAGAAAATACAGGGCACGCTCCACCCCGCACCCCCAGTCGCCGCGGCAGCCGTCCTACTTATCCAGGTTCCCGGGCCCCTGGAGCCCAGGCGGCCGGGCTCTGAACCGTGCCCCTCCGAGCCCCGCCCCGCTCCCCGGCCGGGTGACGCACGGCCAGCGAGGCCGAGCGCCCGGGGAGGGCGTGATGACGTCACGACGCCCCGGTCAGGGCCTGGGCGCGGCTGGCGAGCCGGGTCGTCGCTATAGCAATGGGGAGCTGCCACCTGTCCCTCCGAGGGACTCGGTCCACCTGAGGCCTGAGGCGGCAGCGGGGAGGAGCCCGAGGCCCCGAGGGCTCCACGCTGTCTCGTCGGCTGCCTGCGGGCGAAAAGGGCGCTCCAGGAGCCGGGGAGGACGGGAGGGTTAGGTTGTGAGGGAAGCCGTTCCCGCGGGTGCCACTGCCCGCACTGGGGCTGCGGACCTTCTCCTTGGGGTTCAGAGCCCGGGGGCTTCCTCCTGCGCCTTACCGCCCCGAAGCGCTTTACTGGGCGCAGTCCGCAGGCACTGCCTACGATCTTCGAACTAACACCCTGAAGGAAGCAACTGCAGGTATTACTGGCTCCGTCTCGAAAAGGACGTCATTGAGGAGCCGTGAGGGACTTTGCCTCTCTAGGGAGGGCGCCCTGACGGCCCTCGCGGGTTCTCTCACCCTCGTACCCCCCTCAGCCCCACCCGCAGCCTTAAAACCAGCTGCTCCCCACCGTAGGCTCGCCTGGGGTGAGCAAAACCAAGCCCTTTTGCCATTTCACCCCTCCCAGGAGGGAGGGGCTAGTTGGGGGAATTTGCAGAAATCCAAGGGAAAATTAAAAGGGAGTGAGCTTTTGGTAAAACATTAAAAATAACTGAGAGGAGTTAGATAAGGAACTGGTAAAGGTTGCTTCTTAGGAGAGGAATTGGGTGCCTGGAGGAATGAGGTGAGAAACTTTTCCCTCTCTGTCCTTTTAGACTAACTTTTTTTTTTTTTTTGGTATCCTCCCTCCCCGCACCCCCAAAAATTAAACTAAAAAAAAAAAAGAATTTTCAAAGGAAGTATTCCGATAAAATAGAAACAGTTACAAAGTACAGGGTTTGGGGCCTATGGTAGCTAACGATGCTATTGAGGGCACTGACAGCCTCTTACCTACCCTGTCGGAAGAGCTTAACCAGAAAGCACGCTTTTCCAATTTTAGGCATCCGCTCTTGCCTGTCTTATTTGTTTTGACACATCCTTTCCAGAGGTGGGACTGGGGCCAGAGTTGTCTGCAGGTTCTCTGTTTCAGTGGGCAGTGAGTGACAGTTGATGGCCCATGCTTATGGTTAATAATTGAGACTTTCTATACCTCCTGGTATAGAAATAAACAGCCTGACCACTGTGGTGCCCTTTCTGTTCCTTTTTGGTGGAAGTTTGACAAGTTATTTTACATACCTGCAGAGAGAATAAATAGCATGTCCTGTAGCATAAACTCCTGGTTAGAAATAGAGCAGGGACTAGAACTCAGGTTGTCCTAGTTTGTCTCCTCACCACCTTTTTCCATAATGAAAAATACATTTGTCCTTTCTCACATTCCATGCAGATCCTAATCTGGCTAATCACCTCTCCTATTACACAATGAACAAAAACTCTGGGCAATCAGTGTGTGACTTTGAAGTAATAAGATTTTGACGGGTAGTTTCAGGTACTCAGGAGAACTGATGAAGAACATATTTTGGAGTGGAGGATTGAAGGTCATTTCTAGCAGCTTGTGTTCTGCCTTTGAGCCCCACCCTGACAATATACCACCATATAGGCTAGTGGTCTTTTTTTTTTTTTTAAAGATTTTATTTATTTATTTGAGAGAGAGCACAAATAGAGGGAGGGGCAGAGGGAGAGGGACAAGCCACCTCCCCGCTGAGCAGGGAGCTCGATGTGGGGCTCGATCCCAGGACTCTGGGATCCTGATCTGAGCTGAAGGCAGACGCTTAACTGAGCCACCCAGGCGCCCCTAGGCTAGTGGTCTTAGGACATTTTTAAAACATGGAATCTATAAAAGAATTTGAAAGGACTGTATAACCCCTTGTTCATTTAAAAGTTGGTATCTGTACTTGTAGAAGATATAATTTCTGAGTTATTGTAATTTTAACATTTTAAACTTAAACCATTCTGTAACTCTTTAATGGTATCCAGTGTACTCCAAATACCCTAAATATTTGATGCCCACCATCATCTATTTAAAAATATATGAACAAGCCCTTTAGCAGAAATTTTATATGGTTCCCTTTCTTCTTGAACTCCTAATTCCATTCACTTTGCCTACAGAACTGTATCCTAATTAGTGTATTTGTATGTTTTAAAGACTTTTATTGATTACTGTCACACTTCTTTGCAACAAGAATGAGTGTAAATTTAAGTTTATTGCCTGTGACCATAGGCTTTAATTGTTAAAAAGTTTCTTTTGAATTGAATTGTCATTACAGTTATTACTGGTACACAAATTTATTAAAAAAACATAAATATACATGTTTTTATAACTTGTGAAACCTAAAAAGTATAATTTTTATTGAAAATGCATCCCTTGGGGTGCCTGGCTGGCTCAGTCAAGAGCATGCGACTCTTGATCTTGGGGTCGTTAGTTCGAGCCCCATATTAGGTGTAGAAATTACTTAAATGAATAAATAAAAACTTTAAAAAAATGCATCCTTTAATGAGAAATATGGTATTTCTTAATTGGTTCGGGTTTTCATGGATGAGTTCAGGTATTCAGACCTAATGGTAGAAGGAGATAAGGTGCAATATCCATTCTGTTTTTTATTTTTATAGACGTAAGCATTGAGAAACCTTGTTCATGTAGTAATTGGGGAAAGGAAGAGATTTGTTACAGCATTAGTCCTTGAGGCTTTGAACTACTCCTAAATTACATGCCAGTGATCACAAGGTGTCCTATTACCAAATAATATTCTCAAGTACTATCAAATAGAGTCCTTTAATTTTATTAAAAACAAAGAATTGGAAACCACTGAACTTGCAAAAGGATTTGTTATCCAGGCTTTAGAGTCTCAGTTTCAGTCTTATAAAAATTACTGTTAGTTACCTGTTACCTTTTCACTCAGAGGCATCTTGTTAATCAGACTGATTTTCATACTCTTTTACCAACACAATTTTTTTTATAAAATTCTTTTATCATTACATGTTTTCAGGATCTTTTTGTGAAAATATTGAAGTGCAGATTCACTTCAGTATGGAAAACACCTGCCATTTGTGGAATTAGCAAAGCCAATCTTCTTTCAAACCAATCAGCTAAATCAGACTTAACTTTGTTAGGAAAAAGTCTGACTTTATTCTTCAATTCAAATAAATATGCTAATATTTGTTTTAAAGACTATTGTAAAAAATCACTGGGAAATAAATTATTAGTTGTAACTTATAAAATAGATTACTAAAAATCAGTCATGATTAAAATTATGTAGAGTTAATATTAACATTGCAAAAACTGTAAAAACAAGATAGTACTATTTCTCATTGTATAATTTGGAATAATGCCGTGTAATATGTAGCTAAATCTACTAGTAGCTAGTAGAGAGTAATATGTAGCTAAATCTACTAGTAGCTAAATGAGAAGTAGGATCGAAGGCATGTTATCCCCTTGGCAGATACGGATATGTGCTCGTGTTGAATTCTGATGTTTGACTTTGGGGGTGGCTCAGTCAGTTAAGCGGCTGCCTTCGGCTCAGGTCATAATCCCAGGGTCCTGGGATCGAGCCCCGCATCAGGCTCCCTGCTCGGCGGGGAGCCTGCTTCTCCCTCTCCCTCTGCCTGCGTCTCTGCCTACTTGCTCTCTCTGTATCTCTCCGCCAAATAAATAAATAAAATCTTTAAAAAAAATCAGAAATAACTCCAATTAATTTTTTTAGACTTCATGACAAGCTTTTTCTTACATACTTAATAAAAAAGAAAAGTATATTTGCTAAGAAATAATGGACTGAACAGCTAACAAACAATTTGGTTTTACTAGTAGGTGGTAGAAAATAGTAAACATTTTATAAGATGAAATAAGAGGACTGATTGTAATAGGAATATTTTTATATGAATGGAAAAAACAACGCCTCCCTCCTGTTCCCCAGGTTTTTATATCCTGGGCCATGGATGAAGATTCAGTGTAGGTGAGGGATATGCCTTTCTTTTGTAAAGTAGGACAAAGACTATGCTGAAAGAGGAGGTGGAATGGAGTGTGCCTAAGTATCCCGGCTGGTTCCCAAACAGATTCATTTGGGGCAAGATTTCTAATAGAAGTTGAGGATCTGGAAACTTATTTCCTTAAAATGCCCCTCAGATTGATTTCCTTGCCTAGTATCTCTTGGAATGTCTTCACATACCCTTGGAAAGAGTTCCTTGGGATGTCTTCATGTGCCCGTTTTATAAAGACTGATATAAGCAGACTCAACTGTACCGGCCCTGATTACACATTAATCAGGGACAACATCACAAATGTTCTAGGAAGAAGGTGGAAGACTTGCTGTTTTGGAATAAAAGAGGGTTAAGAAATAAGTCAGAGAGGATGGCCCCGAGCTGACGTAGTCATAATAGTCCTGTATTGGTCCTTGGCTTTGCAGTTCTAGAAACGTGATTTTGTCAGCCCACCAAAGTGTTAATGTTTTGTCACACTAAATCAAACTTACAGGAAGTTAATATATAAAACAGAATGCCAGTGAAGTAACATATACTCATAGCCACCGGGTAGACTGGATTTTCTCTCCTGTTGAGAAGTGAATGTGGAAAGATCAGTTGTAATCAGAATCTTACCTGAGGAGTATGGGTCTTGAGTATGGCTATTGTTATCAAGCTGTGATAGCCTGATGCACGATGCAGGGCACATAACAGGAGCTCAGTAATTGAGAAATGAATGCACCTATCCTTTATAGATGCTAACAAGGAAGTTTAGGATTCTAGTAGGCCAACTCAACATATTTTTTGATCAGGTAGATTTTTGCCTTGTTTCTCTTAAATTGCTATATCATTTGGATATTAAATCCAATAAAATTTTATGTCAGGGAATTACATAATTGTAACAAGTTTTATCTATCATCTCTGAGCCTAGAAATTGGGACTGTTCATTTGTAAGAGACTGGAGATTGTGTTCCTGTGCCCTATGGTAGTAATGGTCATAGTGGCTAAATGATATTTCAGAATTCTATTGGGTGGCCAAGAGTGTACTGCCTTGTACCTCTCAGTGCTGGTATTTTGCTAGAGCGGGACATCTTAATTAGGGAGTCTGTGGCCTGGCTAGATTTGGGGAACTGTACTATAGTAAGGAGAAACAATACCCTAAACTTCCCCTACTCCCTAGATCCCCCGTAGGGGATAATTCTTGATACTACCTTTAAAAATAGAGAGAGAAGCCTTTTCAGATTCCAAAATCATTAGGAATAAGATGGATACATGAGACAATTTTGTAAGTCCTATCTGAAAGCCAGAAGACACTTTGTTTCCAGCTCTAGAATAAACTATTGACACAGAGGAATAGATGCCAGGCCAAGGAGTTTCATTTAGTATTTTAATAATAATAATAAAAAAAGACAATACAAAATCCAAACATTTCTTTTTACAAGTTCAGATACATTTTTTCCCCAAGTGCAAAATACTCTATGAACTGCATCATTTACTGTTTATTGTTGATTGTGTAGGAGATACTTACTATATTGGCAGCAGTGGAAGGCAGATATAAATACAACATTTTGAGATTCTTTTTCTGCATTAAAAAAAGCCTCCCACATGGTAATGATTATTCTCTGAAACTTCAGTTTAACTCACATAGAAGAATAAAGTTTTCAGTTTGTCCAAACTGCTACAATGTGTTGTCTAGATAAGCTGATAACAGAACTGGGGGTTCTATTCTCTCTAATCATATATTTTCTTAAAGGGTTCCTAGTCCAAATAATGGCCCAAGGACAGGGTGTGCTATCTTTGAGACAGGTCCAATTTAAAGATATCCTTGTGTTGTTTGCTTCCACTTTTGTGCTTTAGAAAGAAGCCAAGCAGGTTAACATTATTTTCTGCTTATGGTCAGTTATACTTTGTCTCCCTCCCCCTAGTGTGAGCCTGTTATATTGAGGTTAAGCAGCAAATAACAAAGTTTGAATGCTCTATGTTTTCTGACATTTTGAGATATGACCTGTCAGTCCACTACAGAGTCCCCTCACACATGACTATGGAGAACACTTCTCAGATACAAAAATTTCATTAGGGCCAGAGACCAGGGCCGTATTACTGAACTTGCAGCAACAAATCTGAGCCTCCATTACCTCAAACTAACCCAATCCTCAGGAAGTCAGAGCAGTCACAGCCCAGTGTCTTCTGGGGATTTATAGGCCTGCGGTAGGGCAGCTCAAGTCCGGGCTCTGGTCAGTTTTCTCCTGACTGAGAGTTCCCTCGGGTTTAAGGAATGGACCTGGCCTAATAATACAGAAAGAGGGAGGCAGAGAAGTAAAAAGGGATTGCCATGTTGCTGAGGATTTAAGTGCCTTTCTGATGTGCATCACTTGGCGCTCAGAGTCCTTGCAGAAATGGCTTCCCATTCCCAGACTCAGATCAAGGCAGGTTTTGTACTAAGAGAAATGAAGCCTCACAGTACTGTGGCCCTGTAAACACCCCCATCCTGCAGAGAGGCCTTGGGACTGGTTCGTGAAGGGTTCCCATTTACACCATCTACTTCCTTCCTTACACTGGTAAAAACTTTTTTTTCTGTCTGACCTGTAAAAGGCCTGGAGAGTCCCTGAGTGTTGACTCCTCATTCAGTCTACTTAACCCCTGGTTTGATGCCCCAAGACTGGCTTCCTCCATATGTTCAGCAGTAGCTTTGCCTGGATTGTTAACCCCCTACTTGGACGACCTAAACTAATCATGGTGGACATTAGCAGGTCTTTACCTGCTCACCAAGATCTGTTTTGACATCAATTAAGAAGCCTAGTGGTCTATACTTTCCATACTGTGGAAACCACTCGCAGTTTCCAGAAACTATGGAATAAATTATTGGAGGAAATCTGTTTATGTGTATGTATGGGGTGACAGGAAAGGAAGAGAGCAAGGAGAAGCCAGACCCTGAAGGCCTAAGTTGGGAAGTACTCTGCTTAGCTTTCTAAGAGAGATGCAATGGTAGGGAGAGAATCAGAAAGTTATCCTAGCTTCTGGTGGAGAATGAGGATGGTCAGAGTGGATTAAAGCAGTTTCCATGGCATTTCCTGGGAAATGTGGATACTTCTATTAAATGACCATTTTCTTGTATGGAAGCAGCCATGTTGTATGTTTATAGGAGAGCCCTCTCTGACTAAGAGAGACACAGGAAGCCAGACACTCTACTGCCAAGGGCCTGGGTGTTCGCTAATGGAAGTCAGGGGGGAACTAGCTTTGACCTTGGCTACCTACTGCCTAAGGCTATCTTTGGCTGGTGAACGCTACTGATTAGGGAGTGAGGGGATGGTGCAAGCTTCTTTATGTGGTGTCGACTCTCCTGGGGGAGCAATAACCTGGGATAGTCACTTAGAAATGAACCCTAGGAGTTAATTGGTAGCCTTTGATTGAATAGAACAACAGCTTTGGGGGAAATAAAAGGAGCAAATGGAAAATAAATTTATAGACAGCAGTGGAATGAGGGTAGAATGTGTGCAGGATGTGGGCTTGGGCATGGGCTTGATTCTTCCTTTTGAAAAGCAGCAGTGGAGGAAGCTAGGCTTGAAGTCCACTCCTAGAGGGAATGGCAAACCGGTAGGGGTAGGCAGAGTGGCCAAGGTCAGACAAACTTCATGCCTGGATAACTGTCCTGTTCTTGGTTCCCATAGCCTTGCCTCTGGCCTCAGGGCCCTCAGTCAGCCCATCTCCAGGGGGTTTGTCCTGATGCTCTTCCATGTGTACACCAGGGGCAAACAGGATGAAGGCAGGGAAAAGATGGAGGCTTTCCCTACTTGGGAGTGGAGAGTCACTGACCGATTCTATCGGCCTCTACAGTCGTGAGGTCCATGCTGAATCCACAGAGAGGCATAGGGATGGCAGGATTGGATTAGCAAACACAGGTCCCTCTCCTTCCTGCTCCGTCAAGTCCCAGAATTACTCTCCTACACATCAGGTGCCTCTGAGCTACAGTTTTGGGTTCCCCCAGCTGAGGGCTCCAGAGGTCTGGATGGCCACTGGTCGGGGAGCAGAGGCAGCTCCAGCACTCAAGGTTCATGAGATTCAAAACCTTTTTTCTTCCACTTCAAACATACACTCTTCTCTCTTGGGCAGCTATAAATAGGTTTGTTCTAATAGAGGAAAAAAGAAACAAAAACAAAAAACAAAACCAGAAAACAAAAACCCCTCCCTCTAGACAACATAGGAAGACTCAAAATGATTGCACTTATTAGATGTGGACAGGGTGGGCAGAAGGCTCGCCAAGTGTGCACACATTCCTCTTGCTGCCCACAACCTGGGGCCAGAGGTAGGTGGCTCTGGGCTGGCTGCAGAGCAGGGTCCTCTTTGGTGGAGCCCACAAGCCATCTGGGGCTACAAGGGAAAGACAAGTCTGGGGCAAGGCCCAGGCTGGCTTCTGGTCAGCAGCCATGTTTCTTTAAGGACAACACTTAGCAAGGGGAGTAGGGCTCCCCCAGGGAGCACTCAGGTAGGGGTGAGGAGATGGCTGGGCCAGGAAGACAAGAAAGGGGATTAGTGTTTGAGGCTGGCTTCCAATTGTTCTGTAGTCTAGTCCTTTAGATGATACATTTTCTTTCTTTCTTTCTCTCTTTCTTTCTTCTTCTTCTTCTTCTTTTTTTTTTTTTTTTGGTGATGCTTTAAAACCTGGTTTCTGTCCTGCAGAGCTATAGTCTTTCTGTTGGGGGGGGACAGCGGCACATTCAACATGGTAATGCCTGCTGCTTTTCCTCATTCAGCTGCTGTCCACTAGCCCAGTGCTATGGGCCTTTTGTAAGCCCTCATGGATTGGACCCCAAGCAGACGTGGGGGAAGGAGAGAAGCTGTATAGACAAGAAAGCCAGCTGAGTGGACAGTCCAGGGCTCGAACCACGTGCCCCAGAGGACCAGTGCTGGCATTAAGCCTGTAAGTCAAAGGCTTCTTTGGCAGAACCCTGGGTTGTTAGAATCACCCTGGGGGGCACAGCCAGGGGACGTTTGGCTCCTGACTAGCAAGGCACAACCCTAAAATGGCAGAAGCCCTTCTTCCCCGCCCCATTCCCCACTTCCTTCATGGGCCTCTAGCACCCTCCCAAGCTGATGGAGGCCAAGGATGTGAGCTAGTAAAATGGGCAATGTGGCCGGGAAGGGGAAGGGGACACTGTTCTTTTACCCCTCAGGGGAAACAGAGCCAGCACTTAATGGCTTTTCCAGGTAGCATGTAGGAAAAGAGACCACAGTAAGAGAGAGGGAGAAAGAGAGAGGCAGAGACAGGAAAGGAAGCTAGAGAGACAGAAAGGAAGAGTGCTTTGTCTATAGTGATTTTTTTTTTCCTCCAAAAAGAAAGAGAGGAAAGAGTTCCTCATCTGGGGGTGGGGGCTGCCGGCTCTGAGGGCTAAGGAGTCTGGGGGCTTTAAAACCTGGGTCTTGGGCTTAGGGGCACTATTTGTAGGGCCTCAGGAAGCTGGAAACTTTGGAGCGGAGTAGCTTGATGAAGGATTTTGGCAGCATCTCCTTGTGCTTCTCTGTGTACTTGAAGTAGTTCTGGGGGTGGGCCAGCACCTCAAAGAAGGCCTTGATGAGCTTCTTGTCCTGCAAAGGGTGGCAGGCGGCAGTGTCAGCCTCAGCGTTGGGGATGGGAAAGAGGGACACCAGCCTTGACTCAGAAGCAGCCCCTCCTGATGTTGAGTAGGCATGCCCAGAGGTGAACTCTGGATTCCCATCCCACCATCTGTTCCTCCTTTAGAATCCTACAACTCCGTCATTGGCAGCGCCATCCTTCCCTTGCTCATGACCCAGTCCTTGGAGTCATCCTTGACTCCTCTCTCTTGCCCACAACCACAGCAAATCCTGTCGATTCCACCTTCAAAATATATCTGGGGTCTGACCGTTTCCTGCAGCCTCCACAGCTACCACCTGTCCAGGCCACCATCATCTCTCACTTGGACAACTTGCAATAGCCTCCTACCCTGCTTCCCTGCTCCTTGCTCCCACCTATCCTTGTCCCTCTAGAGACTGTTCTCCCCCACAGCAGCCAGAGTGACTTTTTTGGTTTTTAATTAGATCATGTCCTTTTGCTATTGAAAACACTTCTCTGGTTTCTTTTTTCATTCAGTAAAGCCCAGTCCCTTGCAAGGCCCATGGGCTGAAAGTGATCTGTACCCTGCCCTCTGTCCTCTAGTGCCCCTTGACTTTCTTACTCTGCTGAGCTCTCCTGGCTTCAGGGTTCTCAAACATGCCACACAACTCCCATGCTTCTCAGCTTAAAATGCTCCTTTCCTGATCTTCTAATGGGTAGCCCTTTACCTCATTCAGGTCTCTTCTCAGAGGCCTTTCCTGACCATTCTGTCTGAAACAGCAACATGGTGTGTGGAGAGCCTACTAGGTGCCAGGCACTGTGCACTGAGACTCAGGTCTTCTGGCTTCTAGGCTAGTATTCTTCCTATGGCATCAGCAGATTTTTAAAATAAGAGGCGGGGCTTCTGGCCCCTCATCCCCATTACTTTATGCATTGGAGTTCCACAGCACATCTGAAATAAGGGTTCAGATGCTTTAAAACATGTTCAAAAAGCACTGCTGAAATGCTTTTCTTTGTAGTCTGCAAGTTCTAGGAGATCTTTGTCATTGTGTCTCTTATTTTGATGATAATGCAAAAATGATTTTAGGAACCATAAAGATAAAATTTGTTCTTGCATTGATAATTTATGAAGGATAATACTGTTGCTAGGACTGTAGCTTCCCAAGTAAGATTTTCTCAAACAGATCCACAGACCCTGGGGGGTCTAGTTCATTCTTTAACGTTGGTAACATTTCTTTTCCTTTAAAACAGGTTGTGCTGAATTAACTCTGAGAAACACTGTGCTAGATCTGCTCCTTTTCTGTGGGAACTGAGAAGGGAGGCAGGGAAGGGAGGGGAAGATGCAGAGGCATCTTTCTGTACCTCATTTCCCCCCTATTTCTTGGTACAAGCCGTAGGGGACATTTCATCTCCTCGTCTTCTCTTCCTCTTCCCCCACAGTGGAAGGTACTGTGAAGGACCCTGCAGTCAGATGGGCTTGGACGCCCTGGGCAAGTTCTGTAACTCTGTGCCTTAGTCTTCTTATGTGTAAAGTGGGAATGATGAAAGTACCTATTTCATAGAGCTCTTGTGTATATCAAATGAGGATATTCCTGTAAGCCCCCAGCCTACTGCCTGCACATTGTTAACATGCTCATTAAATGCTGGCTGTTCTTATTGCTGTGCTTGTTCACTTGCCTTTAAAATCTCCTGGTGGTTTTCAGACGCATAGAGCCGGCCATCTCGAACAATGTCTTCCACTAGTTGCTCATAGTCCTCTGCAAAATCAACCAACGGGAGCAGTTTACGAGTGGAAACTTGCCCTGCTCCCCCTGCTCCCCCTGCTCCCTCCTAAGACTCGTGAGCCTTGCCTTGCTCACCCACCCCCCTGGCATTCCTGCCCTTGCTCACCATCATAGGTAACGTAGGGGATCTGGAAGCCACGGGCGCTGTTGGCCTCGCTTGTCTTAAAGTTGACCCAGAGCTTCCTGGAGCGGGCCGTGAAAGCAATGGGCCGCTCGTAGGTCTGGCAGGTCTCATAGGTAGTGATGGAGGCTGGGGAGGCTGGGAGGGCAAGCAGCAGGTCAGGAGAGCAGCAGGGCAGGCTACCCAAGCCCCCGTGGAGGAGGGCCGTGGGGGCAAGGAGTCACGCTGACAGAGGCTCTCCCCCGTGCATGTACCTCCCCACCCCCAGCATACACATATCCTCTCCCCCTGCCCTCCGCTTGTCCCACAACTCCTCTTTGATGTCCAGGCACTCACAAGAGTGTAAGAAACTTGACATTTAAATGAATGGAACAGCAAAAATGCTAGAACAGGAAAGTGACATGTGTTAACACTATTGGAGTTCTAATCCCAATGCTGGCTTTCTTAACTCTGCTCTCCACCAAACAAAGAGCATTCGTTGCTGTTTTCCTTTGTTAGCCTCTCTCCTCCCAAGGCCTCCCTTCTCACTGCCCCCGTTCTTCCTGTACCCATCTTCTCTCTCTCCCTCCCTCCCTCCCAACCAGAGTTGCCCTTCCCTGGCCCAGCTCTGCAGCCACCCACAGTTCTTTCTCATGACGAGGACGTCCCCACACTCATCCTCAGATGGCAGGAAGATCTCGGGTACCACGATAAGGATCTTGCGCTTGGGTGGGGGGTTGATGTTCCAGATGCACTCCACGCCAGCTGGGTAGTTGCCTGGGTAGTTGGGGGACTCGATGTAGCCAGTGAACTCACCCAGCTCCCCACCACACTGGCGATCTGTATGCAAACCCGGGTGCAAGAAAGAGAGCAAGAAAGAGAAGGGAAGTCAATGGGGAAATGGGTGAGGGATATTGAAGCGTTTTGAAGTGGACATCGGACACGTGTAGATAGCCGCCTTCCTGGTTCATCATCTCTTCTCCAAGTTCTGGGTCCACCTTCCTTCCCGCCCTTTTAGTACCTTCTCATCTCACTTCACCTCTCTGTCTCCCCACTACCTGTGTCCAGGGAGAGAGTGCCATGGGGCCCAGCCCAGCAACGGTCTTGGGATTGAGTGGGTTGGGAGAGGTGGGGGGTGGGACTTTCGTGCCCACCCACTCCTTAGCCTTGCTCCCTGTGGGTTTACTTATCCCACCCCCAACCTCTTCTCATGGCCATTGTTCCCAGGCCTCTCTACCCCCTTTTCCACTGCCTGGCCTGCCACATACTCTTGCACTGGGCCACGCTGGTGGAGCCATCAAAGTCAGTGCTTGTGTTTCCTGGGCAGCGGGTGCAGAAGTTCTGACGGAAGTCGGGCTGATAGGAGCCCATGGCACAGCGGATACAGCGATGGATGCTGGTGTTGTAGTAGTGACCAGGGGAGCACTGGACTGCAGGCAAGGGGGAAAGGTAGGAGTTAAGATGGCAGGCAAGTGGGAGTTCTGGGGCATGGGATGAGCAGGACATATTCATCGTGGAGAAGCAGGGGACTGAAGACACCCAAGTTCCTTCCAAAGTCCTAGCCTTTCCTAGTCATGCCAGAATTTAAGCCTAGGGAAAAACAAACTTGACAGACTGGCCGGCTACTGCGCCAATCCTTTTCTTTCAGGCACTGAGCATCGTGCCAAACCTATAGAAACTTATTTGTAGTATTGAGGGGAATGTGCTACCCATTCTCCAAAGCAGAGGAGTAAATGAGACTGTTATTTACTCCCTAATTCCTGGACTTGGGACTGGTGAGGGTCAGGATGCGTCCTCTGAGCAGGATGGTATGGTTGGTCAGGCAGCTGGGCCTTTCCCAGTCTGGGGAAGATGGTGGGGCAACATACTTAGGTTTACTCTGAGGACTTGGAGAGTTTTTGGAAGTAGTTCAAATTGGGGAGTCTCCGAGTGAGTAGCCCATTCACCTTTGGTGTCACAGTCTTGGAAGGAGATGGCCCCCTCATGCTTGGTGGTGAGGCCCCCACCACATGGGAAGCACAAGGTCCGTCCTGCTTCAGGTTGGTAGGTGCCCCGTGGACATGGCTGGCAGGGCTTGAACCCGTCTACAGAGTATTGGCCAGGTGAGCACTGACCTGCAATGAATCAAGGGCCCAATTCTGATGGGGATGGTCCTGGTCATCCCCACGGGATTACCCAGTCTCAGGGACAGAGGCACACAAACAGGATGCTGACGAGGAGAGTGGTCTGGAGCCTGGACCTGCCCTTGGGAAATCCCATGCCCGTGGGCATCCCAGTGCCCACCCTACCCCACTCTGTATTGTTTGTTCCCCTGGCACCTGCACATGTGGTGATGTTGGTGGCTCCGAGAGGCCCGTGGGCATCACTCCCAGGGCAAAGGTCGCAGGAGAGCTGCCCTTCTCTCTCCTGGAAGGTGCCCGCTGGGCATGGCACACACTGCTCCATCTGGCCGTGGTAATACGTTCCCTGCGGGCAGCTGACTGAGGGAGAGTCGGCCGTGCTAGCCACCCACCCCCCCCCCCCCCCCCCCCCCCCCCCGCCCCCTCCCCCCCCCCCAGGCCTGGGATTCCCTCCCCCCCCCCCCCCCCCGCCACAGATTCAAGGAGAATCTCTTTGTCTGGGAGGAGACAGAATCCTGCTTGGGAAGACCAGGGGCCAAAGCCACATACAGGAGGGTTGGTGGCCCCTCTAGACATGATATCCCTCTAGATTTCAGCCTGGGACCAGGGAAAGGAGGACGATAGGCAGGAGGGTCTTGGCTGCCTCACAATTTGAGGTACAACTGAGGCCGTCAGGTGTCCTGCTCTGAGTCAGGCCCAAGTTGGGCCGTCCCCACTCCCCTGTTCCCCAGCAAGCTCCCTTACCACACTTAGCCCCAGCGCGGTGCTGCCCAGGCCTACAGGTCTCCACCAGCTCTGCTCGCTCCCCAGCTCCTGGGCCCGGCTTGTGGGCCAGTTCATAATCAAGGCCTGCCAGGCGCAGCAGGAAGCGGTCCTGGTTGATGGACTTTCTAAGCATCTTCAGGGACCCTTTCAGCCGCCGTTCCATTCGCTGTCGGAGGCAGGGGAGTCCACAGGTAGCTGGTGGTAGATGATGGTATGAGTCAGGGAAGGAAGAGAAAGTGGCTATGAGCAGGAGGGCGGGGAGCGAAGCTAGGAGCTAGGAGGGGCATAGTAAGAGACTGGCTCCTGAGTTTGGTGTTAGGCAGGGTCTGCCCTTAGTACAGGCGTTGCCCCTTCCTTTTGCTGCTGAGACCTGCAGTTTCCCCACCTCTGACCCCTCGCTTTCCACCCTCCTCCCAGCAGTGCCCCCAGTCCCACCTGTGGTTTCTTCGGCTCTGACCTCTGCCTCCAGTTCCAGGGTGAGCCGAGTGACCTCCTTGCCTGGAGGGGTCCGGGCCCGCCGGCCCTTGCCCTTCCGAGAGGAGTCACACTTGAGGTGGATGAAGGTGACCTGGCAGTCAGAGCAGGGGGCACCACCTGGGGGAGAGGCCTTGTCAACCCCAGGGGCAGAGAAAGTTCTTGCTCCCAGCTCTCACTGTTCCACCCCAAGCCAGCCAGACCTCACCAGATCTCCGCAACTATCTCAGTTCGCTTTTAATGTAGGATACCAATTATTTGGTGGGGGGATATCCCAGGACTTCCTTGGGCCCTGTGCCTGCAAGAGCCTCTCCCCCTGCTCTGTCCAGAGTTCAGGATGCCAGTGGGTTTTTGGAGATCTCGCTAAGCAGAGGAGCGGAGCGGTGGGAAGGGTGTGGTGGTCAGACAACCCAGTGGGGTGGGGGCCCCAGTCCAGACCTTGCCCCAGGATCCTGCTGGCCTCCTCCATTTTGCCTTTGTTTCGTAGGTGCAGGCGGCACTTGGCATCCTTGATCTTGAAGGAGGCCCGCTGTTTAACCGACAGCACTGCAGCCTCTAGAGGGATGGTAGAAGCTCAGCACAGCCTGGGGGCCCCGTGGGGGTGGGAACTGCTGTGGAGGGTATCGAGAAGCTGGGCAATAAGCCAGGGGCTTGGCTGGAGAAGGATTATGAAAGCCAGGGGAGTCAGATGTTAGGGGCAGAGGGAGCAAGGCAGAAGGGCTGAAGAATGACAGAGCAAGGAAGGGGATCCAAGGATAAAGTAAGGCCAGAAGAAGCAATGAAGAGAAATAGGGGTTACTAAGCAAGAGAGTAAGGTGGGAACAAGGCCTCTGGGCTGGTGCTCACCATGGCAGTGGTTGGAGTTTGTGCTGTTCCCGGTGTGGCCAGCTCGGGCTGGAGTGGCCCTGGGGCTGGGGGTGCCACAGCTCACCGTGAAGCCATTCTCAGACTCTGAGAGAAGGGGGCTGTCACAGCTCTGACCCGTCCCAACACCCACTGGGTGGAGTAATGCAGGGGAAGCAGAAGAGCTCCCTGCACAGGTGGCCTTTCCTCCCTGCCAGCCCTACAGCAACCGCCTCTGTGTACCTGGTGAAAACCGGGCCCGGGAGGGGCAGGTCAGGGCACAGGTGTCCTTCTTGCCAGACCGGTTGCAGCTGAGCATGGCTTTCGAGGCACCAGGACTGCTTTGACATTTTACCGGCTCTAGGAAGGGGAGAGAGACCCGAGGAGGAGAGGGCCTTACTCCCCCACCCTCCTCCGCCGTTCGCTCATTTGGAGGAAGAGACTTAGCTACCTGCAGAACTGTGACTGTAAACCGAGACCGATGAGGGGATTCTTTACCAGAACTTTCATGTCTCTAACTCAAATGACTACATTCTGCTCCCCTAGTACTTCACAGCTTCCTCAGTGTGGAAGGACCCCACTTCCAGGACCCCAATTTCCACCCCCCCCAAAAGTGCAGTGCCGGCTCTGGCCAGCAGAGGGTGCAGCCCACCTGTGCAATCTTTGCCGTTCCAGTGCAGCCGGCCCTGGCCGGCGGGGCAGGTACACTGGTAGCTGCCCGGAGTGTTGATGCAGCCAAATCGGCAACCTCCGCGGTTGATGCTGCACTCATCCACATCTGGGGGAAGGAGTAGGGAGACACCAACAACGGTGGGGGCAGAGTAGGAGCCACGGAGTGGGCAGTGAGTGAGGACCTTTGTTTAGAGTCCCAGGCACTCCGAGACTTGACTACCGGCTTGAGAAAACTCAAGCCTGGGACCTCCCTCCCTTATCTCTGCCCCCAGCCAAAGAACCGACTGAAAAGGGGCCTGGCTGACAAGGTTTTTAAAGCCTTCCACTCCTTCCTGCCACTGGGGCTGTAATTTGGAAGTTGCGGATGGGAGTCAAGAGGCAGCGATGGAACGGGAGATAGAAATTATGCAAGCAGAATGCTGTTCCCCGATCTCATCTCCTAGTTGTCTTAATATCTCCCAGGTCATCATGACGGATGCAGACATGGCACATGCACCTGGGGACTGACTGCCCATAGCCACAAGCCAACTCAGGAACTTGTTCAGGGTGTGGAGGGGAGAGGGGCCAGGAGGCGGAGGGTCTGAATTTGCTGGCTTACCCCCACAGTGGGTGACACCATACAGCAGGTAGCCATGATGGCAGAGGCACTGGAAACTTCCTGGTGTGTTGACACATATGTGGTCACAGGTTCGATCAAAAGAACACTCGTCTATATCTGGAAGAACAGGGATGCAAGCCACTGAATCTGTCTTGGGGCACTTGACCCTGGGACCCCGTGCTTAGGTGAAGGACCCACATGAGGGGCCTTGACCCTCCCTCATGGCCCAGCCCTAGGATCAATGATTTGGCAGTGCCTACCCATCCCGTGCCCCCTCCACTTGTAGTCTTTAGAGTCAGGAACTGTGAGATCTGGTGCCCATGGATCAGGACCACCATATGGGGTTAGGCAGGTCAGATCCTGCCAAGGATTTGAATTAGGGAGAAATCCATCCCTCCTCCTTGCCAAGAGCAAGGTAGAGCTGGTCCATCAAGAGGAAGGGGTACGTTTGCTAATTTCAGCATGACACTGCCTATGGAGACTCTCCGCAGTGTCCACTGACTTTCTCAGACTCTGGCCCTCTGGCCTCCCTGGAGCTCTCCCACCCCTAGTACCTCTCCCAAGACTTTCCCCTTGACCCACATCTGCTCACCCTGGCAGTTCCTCTCATTGATGAGAAGCTTATAGCCCTTCTTGCAGCTGCATTCAAAGCTGCCCACTGTGTTGCGGCAAATGTGGTCACAGCCCCCATTGTTCAAGCGGCACTCATCTATGTCTGGGGAAGCAGGACAAAGTAGAGAGAACCAAAGGTGATACCAAAGCCTGGGGACAACAAATCAGGAGATGACCTCCCTCCCTCCCTCACAGAGAGAGAAAATCAAGCAGAGCCCTGGGCCTGCTGTTCTGACTCCCCTCTCACTCTCTAGTCTCTGTTTCTTCCCTGTTCATGGGATCCGTGGTCATTAGGAACACCTTTCCTGGGACTGAGCCCTGTTAGAAAGGGACAGATGGGAAGCAGAGTCAGGCCCTCAGGGAATTGCCTAGAGTAGGACGTAGGTAGGCATTTGAACCAGGGGGCTAGTTTCTGTCCTTCATTCTGTGGTGATGGTCGTTCCCCAAAAGGCTGGTGGATAAGGTTTATCCCATGCTGTCCCCTGCCCCTGCCTGGCCTAAGAGCCCTAGGCGATGGTGTGGGGGGTGGCAGAGAGAGGTGAAGATTCAAAGGGGCAGCCATTCAGAGAGGAGGAGCTAGGAGAGAGCCAGGCACCAGGACCTCCAGGAGAGCCAGTGAGGCTGGGTAGCTGCTGGGGGAGGGGTGGGGGCCAGGCAGGGGGCTGGACTGGGAGAGGTCTGGAGAGGCTCAGGCCTGAGGCGGCTTTCAGCACTAGGAAGGGAAGGGGGGCCCGTGAGCAGCTTCCTTCCTGAGGTCAAGTTCCCCAAGCTGGTGGCAGACAGGACCCAGGCTACTCACCCCTACTTGGGGGAGGGGGCAGAGAGGGCAGTCTTCCACTTCTCTCTTAGCATACCTGTCAACAGTCCTTCCCAGCAGGAAACCTCTCAACTCTGGCTGTCTGACCTGCTGCCCCAGCCCTCCCTGTCTCCCCATCCTCTCTGCCAGCTGTTGGGCCAAAAGACACAAAGGGGGAGCTCAGTCCTCTTTCCAGGCCTCCTTGTGACCAGGGGACACAGACCTGATGAATCACTATTTCACTGAGGCTACCCTCCCTTTTTCCTCCCCCACGCCACCCTTCTCCCAGACCCGGCTTATTAAAAGGAAGGGAAATAGGATGGACAATATGGGAAATTATACCATAATAATAGTTAACACAAGACACTTACCATCTGTCAGGTACTGTTCTAAGTACTTTTTATATGATTTATATATAACTGATCTAATCCTTAGGACAAGCACCATTATTGTAGTGGAACTGAGGCACAGACGCTAAGGAACTTGCCCAGGATCGCAGAGCTGGGATCTGAACCCAGGCAGCCAGGCTCCAGCATCAGTGCTCCCAACTGCCACCAACTTCTCCCTCTGACCAGTGTAGCCTTTCCACTTGGAAAGGTCTGGGGAATGTGGGTTAAGAAGGTTATGGAACACATCTGTGACCTTGTACACACACAGTCAGGGCTCAAATATCCTCCTAGAGCCAGGGACAAATGAGAATGGCATGTTCATTAAGCAAGAGGGTTAGGGACCTGTAGGGGGTAGGAATGAGAGCAAGGAAAACAATGTAAGGTTGGGGCACTAAGGAGCTGGCCAGACTTTCGTGCCCCTTGAACTGAGGTGGGAAAGACAGACGAGAGACGAGCCTTAGCCATGCCCTTGGTTCTTTCTTATCAGGACAGCCCCCCGGGGGTTGAGGAGCTCCCATAATAGGTACTGTATCTCTGGTCCCAACCTCGGCCCCTTACCCCGATGCTCTTGTCCTCTGAGAGCCCTTACCTTTGCAGGTCTTCCTGTCTGGCTGCAGCATGAAGCCCACGGGGCAGCTGCAGTGGACGCCCGTGGCTGCATCGTGGCACTTACTGTCACAGCCCCCGTTGTTGACCGCACAGGTCTCTGTTTAGGAGGGAGGCATGAGGATGGTAATTGGGTTACTGGCTTGGAGGAATCCCAAACTCGAAGGGAGTAGAGAGTGCAGAGGCGCGAGGGAAGGCCTCAGCTGCCTCCCTGTGCTTTCGAAGGAGCATTCAGTGGAGGCTCCCAGCCCCCATCCCCTCACAAGTGCAGCCAAGCAGTCCACTTCCCTGCCCCCTACTTGATTGAAACAAGGTGGACAGCAGTGAGGCAGGTACAAGCCAGAGCTGTCAGGCAGGAATGCGCTGAGGGGGTGGAGGAGGTGGAGCGGGGAGGGTGCAGGGAGGGATGGGAGCTAAGGAAGGGTGGTTCTCAGCCTCCAGGGAACAAGAAGGGACAGATAGGAGTCTCCTCCTTTTTCCGCCCACTGTCTCTCTGGTGTCAGGGTGGGATAGTCTTGGGAAGAGTGAGCCTAGTGATCCCTAAGACAGCTGAGGGATGGCCACCAATTCATCTTCCCTTTCCTCCTTGCTCAGCTGTCTTAAAAAAAGGATCCCGGTTCCAGGCCTGACTGCTCATCCTCAGAGGAGAGGCACATACTTGGTCATTTCCCAGCCCCTTCCCGGCTACCTCCAACTCCTCCCAAGCCCTCCTTTTAGTTCCAGATGGAGATAAGCTGGCTGTTCTGTTGTTTTCCTTTCCTAATGGAGAGAGACTGGCTAGGTAGGAGATGGGGGGGCGGGGGAAGGAGAAGAATCCAGAGGATCAGGCAGGGTGTAAGAAGGTAGATGGGAGCCAGAGAACCTCAAAGCTAAGTCTCTTCTCTTGCCCCTTCTTGACTGGTAAGTTCTCTCTTTGCTGAGGGGGTCACAATAGGGGGAGTATGGATGGGTCACTCTCCCTATTGTCTGAATTCAGAGCAGGACATAAACAAGTTTCAACTGCAGCTCAGGAGAGTCAGGTAAGCCCAGGGGAAAACCATCAGTTCAAATAGTGCAAGGCCCTGACCCAGGGACTCTGGAGGAGGCATGGGCCATCCTCTGGGGGGCCTAGAGTTCTCCCATTGGAGAGACAAAACCCCAAGCCCTCTCCTAGGGAAGAAAGGAGAGTGGTTCTCTGAATCAAGGGAACTGAATGAGAAAAGCAGCCGAGAATACTATCATCTTCTTTCATCTTTGACTGCTAAAACCCAGGCCCAACCCTTGTTACCAAGGAGACCACCAAGGCAAGGGTTCTAGAAGAAGCCCAACGCCGCCTGTGGGTCCCCAGTCATGTCCTGGTTGCTCAAATGCCCAGGTCTGGGAGCAGCCACAGTGGGATCTCCTATGTGCCACTGCCCCCCTAGTCTCCTGTGATTCCCCAAGACCATGGGAGGAACTGGAAGGGAACCTTGAATTCAGGCTCCAAGCCTAGCCATTCCCTCCAAGAGTGCTCTTAGTATAAGAAGAGGTCCCCCAAGGCCTGGAGCAGGGGGAGAGGAACAGAGGTCCTGCGCCAGGACCAGGTAGGTTCGGAGGGACCCAGGGTGGGGAGCAGCGGAGCTGGTACGACGTCCATCCAGTTCAGACCAGGATGCCGGGCTTAGCTGCCCTCCCGTGCAGGGCAGCGTTTCACCAGGCCAGGGTTGGGGCGGCAGGATGGCAGAGCCTCAACCCTTTGTTCTTCGGGTTGCGGTATTAAGCCACAGTTTAATCTGCGCTTGTTCTGTGCCGGGCACTTAGATGCTCCGCACACACCGTCTCAGTGTTCCCAGCAACCCTAAGGGAGAACTCTGTCTCCCTGTCTACAGAAGAGTAAACAGAGGATCAGAGAAGAAAGTAGCTTGCTGGGGGTTGTACAGGTAGAAAGAGGCAGAGGCAGGATTCAAACTCAGGTCGGTCTGCATTCAGATGTCACGCTGGTGCCCGTTCCGGTGGGGCAGGATGGTGAGTGACGCCGCTGTGAGCTGGTGTGGGCAAGAACCCAAGGACACGGCCCCATGGAGGGGATGGCCTCGGACTCTACCCCACCCCTGTCTCAGCCACCTAACAGGCACAACGGGTGAGCTGGAGCTGCGGGGTCTTTTGCTGTGTAGAAGGCAGAGAGAGGGAGGGGGCAGATGGTGGGGAAAGGGTGAGGTGTTAGAGGGGGGGGGGGGGGGGGGGGGGAGGGAGGGGGGGGGGACGGGAAGGAAAGAGACAAAACCAACACGAAGGCTCCTGGGCCAGCTCTTGGGGACTCGGGTGTCCTGTCACCCAGTGGGCCCAATACCCAAGCTGCAGGGGAGCCCTGCTGGTAGGCTGGAGTCCAGTCAGGCTGGGCCCAGTGGGCATGCGGTTAGTGGGAGCCCCAGCGGGTTAGCCCTTCCCCTAGCAAGCCAGTGAGAGCAAGCGGAGAGAGCAGACATATTTACCATTAGAAACGGCCTGAGGGGGGATGTGCTGCTCTAGCCGCCTTTCCCCTGTTTGACATTGTAAAAAAGCTGTTTAGATGCTGGGCAGCAGCCACTGTGGCCCACTGGGCCCCAGTTCCCCCCCTTCCCTCCTCCACCCCTGTAGCCCCAAACCACTAGCCCCAAGTGATGAGCCCTGAGACTCCTACACTTAGCTCCCCAGCCTTGTCCTGCCCGGTGTCCTCAAAGAAGCCAGGCTCCCACCAGATGACTGATGGAAAACAGAGTCCCAGGGAGGGGCCGTCATGGGCCCGGTACCACACAGCATGCCAAAGGCAGAGCTGGGATGCAATCTCAAATCTTACACGCTGCCAAGCCCCAAAGGGTGCCCACCCTTTTGGCTAAACTATACTGCCCTCTCTGTCTCCCCACTAAATTTGAATGTCCTGGCGGCCCCGAACAATGACGTTTCCTCCTACCAGGGCTGGGGAGAAAAATGTGATTAGGGCAAGGCAAACTAAGTTCTAATGGAGAAGAGGGAGAGGAACTCGGGACGAATATAACTGTGAACCCTAGAGCTGCCTCATTTGCTCTCTTCTGCCTCGCTTGGCCATGGTCCAGAAGACAGAATGGGTCTCGCATTAGAGAAGAGCTCAAGCTTACTAGGGGTATTTTCAAAAGCAGCCATGCCCAGGACTATGTGAACAGAAGGCACCAGAGAGGGACCTGGCCCCACATTCATGGGTCTGAGCTCTGTCCTGATACGTGCAGCTTTTCTTTAAGGACCGCATGCAGTTTCTCTTGGGGGACTCTGGGGTTGTGTGAGTGTGTCCAGGGGATGGTGGGAGGTTTAGGAAGCAGAAGAATTCGACTTACGAGGAAAAAGATGAAAGGAGCTGGAACAAACCAGCCAGGAGAAGGCGACATGAAGACCTAAAAATGTCCCAGGGTCTTTAAAGGGTTAGTTTCAGAGGGAAACGTGTAGCGGGAGAGAGTTTAATTAAAGAAGTTTAGAGCCGTGTGTGCGAGTCTCTGGAACAGGTACTCAGAGGACACCTTTAAGAGCACCATTTGCTCCCCTGTTCCTGTGTCTGGGGGTTAGGGCAATGCTGTCTGCAGAGACGGGCGGGGTCTCTGGAGAGAGATGGGGAGAGTCTGGTTCTTAAGCCGAATGTCATGTCTCTGATGAATACACAGAGCGACTGTGTTCATGCTTCCTCGTCCTCCGCATGGTGTAGCACATGAGATGACCGGCGTCCGTAAATACACAGAACAAGCTCGCCCCTGCCTGGTTCCCTCCAGACACAGCCTTCCTCCCTGCCCAAACCCTTCCCTTTCATTTCCCACTTCTCCAGGGGCACGCCTTGTCCCATCGTCTTTCTCAGCACTCCGTGAGCACATAGTAATTGGCCTTCACAAAAGTCCTAAAGACAGAAGGGGTGAGGAATTATGGTACCTGACGGTATGTGAGGTAAGACCTAGGAATCCAGGAAAAGGGATCCAGGTGTTAAGAAGGACCCAACCGGGGCGAGAGGGATGGAAGGCTGGAGCTGGTGGGGCAGTGGAGGGCTGCAGGCAGAGGTGTGGAGGAGAGGGGAGGGGGTGCGGGTGCAGGGCAGGGGAGCGGGCAGGGGTACACAGGACGGAGAGGAAGAAGAAACCTGGAGCCAGGAAACCCCATTTGTCAGTTCAGGGCTGGTTGTTCCAGGAAGGGGCGCTGTGTCCCCCCCCCCCCCCCCAGTTCCAGAGCAGGGACGGTGGGCTGTGACAGCTCCCATCTTACCGCACGAGTCCCCCGGGACCTCGGGGCAGGCTCCGTCAGCCACGTGGCCCCAGCTCTCCTCCCCCCTCTCAAGCACAGCCTTGGTCAACAAGCACCTCTGCTAATTATTCCCACTTTGGCAACACTTTATCCTGCATAAAGAGGACGGCGAGGGGCCCTCCGGGGGCGGGGCAGGAGAATGAGCGGCCCGGGAGGAGAAGAGGGTGAGGCCTGCAAGCTCTCAGGGTTGTCCCTCACTAGCCCTGGCCTTGTCGTCTGGCTCGTCAGTACACTCACCGGCCATTCTGCGCCCAGCACCAGGGCCCCAGGTGCTCCCCCCCGCCCCTGGTTCTCCAAGGCCCTGACCTCCACCCCCTCCCCATCCCAGGCGGACTCGCGTTCACGGGCCTCACCCACCAATGCATGTCTTCCCGTCGGTATGGAGCACGAACTTGACATGGCAGCCGCACCGGGGACCCTGCTCTGTGTCATCGCACGTGTGCTGGCAGCCGCCATTACCGTAGTTGCACGTCACTGTGCAGAGAGGGCGGGAGGCCTGTCAGCTTGCTGCTCCCTGGGCCCCAGCGTCCTCCACAGCACGGAGACCGGCCCTCTGCTCTGGTTGCCTCTCCCACGCTCCCTTTTCCTCCCACGTCTTGCTGCCCAGCGTCGGTGCGCTTCTCCCTCACTGCCATCCCCAGTTCTCTCACGTTTACAGTCCCGTTGGTTCTTGGTGAGCTCGAAGCCAGGGCGGCATTCACAGGCAATACCCCCTTTGGGAGTCTCCCGGCAAATGTGAGCACAACCGTGGTTCTTGTTCATGCAATTCATTCCTTCTAAAAGGGAAGAGGAGGGAGGTGAGTGCTCCGTATGCCTGGATGCCTAGAGGAAGAGGAACTAGGGGGGCAGTGGGGCCTAGGAGACTGAGAGAATCCACTGAGGCTGCCCCATAGTAACCTCAATCCCACACTGATCCCAACCCCAAATGAATTCCCCCAGATTTTGCTCCAACACAGTGTCTGTCCATGGAGCCCTTAAGCATGTGACTGGGTTGAGGGACAAGAGAGGAAGGAGCTGGTGGAGTTGAGAACAGAGGGTGAGACCCAGGGGGTTTTGAGGGAAAACTCCACAGGTGGAGAGCAGCCTGGGAGTGCAGGGCTGGGCCCTCCCGGGTCGTGGGCTGACCTTCTGGCCGCTGGATGCAGGTGTGCTGGTTGTCGCTGAGGAAGAAGCCCTCCCGGCAGTGGCACTCATAGCTGCCCATCATGTTGACACAGCTCTGCTGACAGCCACCATTGCCCTCGGCACACTCGTCCACATCTGTGTAGGATGGGTGGTTGGTGAGGCCATGGGGTGCAGGCCGGGGTCCAGAGTATGCCCTGAGACTTCAGCACGCCCTCCCCACCCCAATGCAGCACCCAGCCTCAGGCCAGAAAGTTCTCGCTCACTCATCAGCTAATGTTCCACTGCTCTGGAAGAGGCCACCCTAAGAGGGCAGAGCTGGGGAGCTAAGCCAGTGGAAAGGGCACAGTGGCACCTGCCTCTCTCCAAGCGAAGACTTGCCTCCCTTTCCCTCACTTGTTGGAATTGGGTGTGAGAGCAGAAGAAATCAGGAAGGGAGCCAGGGCAAGAGGGAAGAGAGATGACGATACGGATGGGGATTGGTCAGGGAGAGGAGCTGGGGCAGTGGTTACAGCCAGGGAATGCAACAACTTGGAGCTGGCTCCAAGTGCAGGGAGAGCTGTGGCCATGGCGCTAGGTCTGAGGGGCGACGTGGGTAAAGGCAGCAAGCCTCAACTCCTTGCAGGGCAGGGACCATTTCTGTGGACAGGCCACGGCCCCATCCTTCCTACCCTCCCCCCATGCCTGGGCTTGCTGCCATAGTCCTTAGCCTTTCTCCTATTTTGGTTTAACAAAACAGTCTGGTAGCTTGGTGGGGAGGGGTAGGAGGAGAGCTGCCAGGCCACACCCTAATTACCACCCCAAATCGCCACCCCCAGGTCCCAGAGCCAAGCTCATTCTGGGGCTCCCACTTCAATGCCTGGATTCTGTCTCTGTGCTACCTACTGCCCTCCCAAGTCCCTAGCCCTTCTCGGTTTTCCTTGGCCCAGCAGGCATCCGGGAGTCTCCAAACAGAGCGGCTGGGATTTGAGCTCCTGAAGCCCTCATCTGCCGCTCTCTTCCCATCCTCTCTGCTGAGCCCCGAGACCCTGTCCTTTCCCCCTTCTGGCCAAGGGCAGAGAGGCATGGATCCAGCAGGCTCCTGCCTGAGAGAGGTACCTGTTGTAAAGCCAAGGAGATACACTTTCCTTTTCCTTATACCTGTCCCCTCCCCTTCTCTCACTGCACCCGACTTCTTCCCATCCTCGTCTGTCCTTTGTTGCCCCATCCTACAGTCCATCCTTCTATTTGCTCCCTTCTAGTGCAACCCTGTGACTTTGCTACTCTTTAGCCAAGTTCCTTCCTCCAATTCTCAGTGGGGAAACTGAGGCCCAGGGCATGGAGGACTTAGGGTTGCCCTAAAAGCCAAAGGTAGAGTTGAGACTTTGAACCCCAACCCTAAGGGTAGGGTTAGGTAGACCTTTGCTCCCCCTGCCTCTTCCCGTACCTATTCATTCCCTTGCCCTCTGGTTGGTTCTCCCCAAAATGCAGGGAAACAAGACTTGGTGAGAATCAGGGGCTTAGAAAGGTCAAAGGCAGCCAAAGAACTCAGAAGCTGATGTTTTCCATCCTGCAGGAAACTCACTGTCCTGGTCAAAGTGTCATAGCTTCTCTTTCTGAAGGAGTCCTCAAAGAGGCCCTCACAGGTGACTGGGCAGAAGAGAAGTGAGGTCCTTCCCTGGGAGAAGAGGTGGCCAGGGCTGGGGGGAAGGGCCCAGCACGGCTCAGGCTGTAGAGGCCTGGGTTGGGAATAGAAACCTATAAGCCTGGTCCAAAGATGGGATGTGACTGGGTCTAGAGGCAGCCCTGCAGGAAGGAGGCTCTCCTAGACTAAGGGAGCCTCAGATAATTCATCGGTTTGGTCAGGTGGAGAAGCAGCCTAGCTGCTCTTCTGGGCATCATTCCTCTTCTTTTCATTTCCTGCTCTTCTAGTCTTCCAGTCTCCTGCTTTTATTTTGACACCAGAGAGGAAGAATTTGGAAGGCAGCTATGCTCACCACTATACCACCAACGCAAGAGGAAGAATTTGGAAAAGGACCCCTGGCTTCACATTTCAAATCCTTTTCTGCTATGGGCTTCAGTGTTTCTACTTGGGGAAGAATCTGACACGGTCCCAGTAATTTTCCAAAATGATAAGAGACCAAAGTTGAGTGGAGTTGCCTAGAGATTCTCCTATCTCTGACCCAGCTCCTGGGTCAAAGATCAGGTCAGATTGAGGCCTGAGAAGTGAGGAGAGGGAGAGCCTGGAGATTGCAGGACAAGCTGGAAGAAAACCAATCTTTAAGGGTCAGAGGCTCCCCAGGACCCAGGGGAGCACCACCACCATCACCACCACCATCATCATCAAACATTCCTCCCATTTATTGAAGTGTAGAGCCAAATTACCTTCCCACCATGCTCTGCTCCCTAAGGCTACACCTACTATTGTCATCTTCTGGCCCTTGCCCTGGGAGCACTTTCTAGCAGCATCTCCTCTGATGTTTTTCATCCAGCAGCAGGGTTATTTCATCCTCAGCGCCCAGTCTCAAAGGGGAGGCTGACCTTATTCTCTATTTTGTGAGAATGCAGCTTTTCGATCACCTTCCTCTCCTTGCCCGGGAAGTGGGAAATGCTGGAAACGCCTCCTTCCCCACAAGACAGCCCCTCTGCCCACACCTCCTCTCCCTCCTTTGCTTACCCAGACAGTTGTGTCCGTCATGTGCCAGGTGGAATCCATCATAGCAGGTGCATCGGTAATTGCCAGGGATGTTGACACAGTCGTGCACACAACCTGCATTATCTTCTCGTTCACACTCATCCACATCTGCGGGCAAAGAGGATCTGAGGCAGCTGGCCCACCAGCATGCCCCCCACTGTCTACCCCTGGGCTCGGCCCTGTGGTGGTTTAAATATGTATATATGTGTATATATATGTATCTTCTCTGTGTATGTATGTTTACATAGTTACTTTCATAGCCTACAAACCATTTTGCATTTTACTATTTTTTTTAAAGATTTTATTTATTTATTTGACAGAGAGGGAGGCAGCAAGAGAGGGAACACAAGCAGGGGGAGCGGGAGAGGGAGAAGCAGGCTTCCTGCGGAGCAGGGAGCCCGATGCGGGGCTCGATCCCAGGACCCTGGGATCATGACCTGAGCCGAAGGCAGACGCTTAATGACTGAGCCACCCAGGCGCCCCGCATTTTGCTATTTTCATCTAAACTTAAGTCATAGGGGCTCCTGGGTGGCTCAGCTGGTTAAGTGTCAGACTCTTGATTTTGGCTCAGGTCATGATCTCAGGTTGTGAAATCGAGCCTCGCATCAGGCTCCACGCTGAGCATGCAGCCTGCTTAGGATTCTCTCTCTCCCTCTCACTCTGACCCTCCCCCGCCCCTCTCTAAAAGTAAGTAAGTAAGTAAATAGATAGATAGATAGATAGATAGATAGATAGATAGATAGATAAAATATGAGGCACCTGGGTAGCTCAGTCGTTAAGCGTCTGCCTTCAGCTCAGGTCATGATCCCAGGGTCCTGGGATCGAACCCCACATCGGGCTCCCTGCTCCACAGGAAGCCTGCTTCTCCCTCTCCCACTCCCCCTGCTTGTGTTCCTGCTCTCACTATCTCTCTCTGTCAAATAAATAAATAAATCTAAAACATAAAATAAAAATAAGCTTAAGTCATAAACATTTTCATACGTCTCCACCCAGTCTTTCTAATTACCGCTGTACATAGTTGCAGAATATTCCATTGTGTTGCTATATCATAACTTATTCATCCTTTATTGTCAGATTCCTTCCATTTATTTTACTATCATAAATAATGCATAAAGAACATCTTCTCCTGGATATTATTCTGTTTCTTTGAATTTCCCTTGAATAAGTCCCTAAGAATAAAATTTCTGGGTCAAAGGGTATCAATACCTTTTAAAAGTCCTGCTAGGTACGTCAAAATCACTTTTCAGTCTATAATGTCACCAAAACTTAATGAGTGTACCTTGTCCACTTAAGTCTTACCAACACTGAAGGTCATACATTGAAAATAACATCTAAGCATGCTTTAATTTGCACTGCTTTAATTATGAGAGGGGAAGAATGTGTTTGTTTACGGTATGAATTTCCCCTGGGGTAAACTGTCTGTTCTCATCCTATGTGGGAATGGTAGAAGGGCCTAAAGATGGAGGTTCCAATGTCAGGGCACCTCAGGCCTTAGTCCCATGATTCTGACCCCCCACCCAGCCAAGCTGGGAGGCTGTGAACTATTCGCACCAGAGCCTCATCTAGGCTCTATGGTGCCGTCCCGGGGGAAAAAATAGCCACCCCTCCCAACCCCCTCCCCGAGCCCACAGGGATTGCAGGCCTTACTGTCATGTGCAGTGTGGCTGAGGGCAGTGGCACTGATTCCCCCTCTCGGGCGCCCTCCCAGCCTCACCTTTGCAGTGTTTACCATCCCCTGTGTAGCCAGACTTGCAGATGCACTTGTAGGACCGTGGGGTGTTCTGGCAGATCGCATCGATGTGGCAGTTGTCAGTCCCCTCCACACATTCATCCACATCTGGCAGGGGCAGAGGGGGCGTGTGAGACCTTCTGTCAGTGCATTCCAAAGGGTGTCTTGAAGGTGGTTCCCCAAGGGCAAAATCCCCTCTCCTCTAAAATAGAGATAGTGACCCCTCCAAGAGCAGGTGCTCTTCCAACAACACCCTTCTGATTTCAGAGTGGGTCGACTCTGTAATTTCAGGAATTCAAAAAGCACCCCCACTCTCCTCAGAAATACTTAATCCATAATGACAGCTAAAATTCCATCATTTGAAACACTCCTCTTTGATTTAAAAACAAACAAAAACCCTTGGACTGAGTAACACACTTACCTTGATTAGAAATATTCAACTTAGTGTGAATTAGTTTACCTCTCTTAGAAGGCTTCAGGCGGGGGTGGGGGGGGCATGGGAACAGTGGCCTCTGGGAAAGTGGCAGGGTCCAGTGGCCCTCAGCAATGGAAGGAGGAAGAAAGGGAGAAGATGGGGCACCCGAGAAATCCTCATCTGTCTCAGTTCTGCTTGAGACCAGGCCTGCTCCCACTTGCCCACCATGGCACCAAGAATCTTTAGAGGAAAGAAGTTCCATCCTGGAAGATTTCCCTCGGCCCCTGTGCTGTCCACAGCAGAGGGACCAGGACCGGGCAGGGGCTGGTACCAGCAACCTGAAGCCTGATCAGTGGGGCACTTGTGGCTCTCCAGCTAACTCCAGCTTGTCCAACCCGCCACCCTGAACTCTCCCATCTAACCCAAGGTGCTCCTCTCCCTCCTGGCTCTCACTCTGACACGAGGTACTCCTCAGAGAGCTATGCTAAAGGAAGAGGCCACCCAAGATCTAGCAAAAAAGAGGATGGTTCTGAAAGGACAGAGCAAAGAAAACTATTTATCATCTTTGGGCAAAAGATTCCAACTTCTGGGGCAACATTACGGGGTGCATAAAGCAGAGCTAAAATATGGCAACATGTTGCATTCAGTTGAAAATGTTTTACAGGGTGTATTTGTGAAAGGTACTATGCTGAAGCCTGTGGAGGCCCTGAGGTGACTTGGCCCAGCCAGAAGGAGAGACAAGTAACATGAGGCAGGGTGTAGTTGAGTGCTACAGAGACATTAGACATAAGGTGAGAGGGTCCTCAACCCTGGCTACACATCATCAGAGTTAACTCCCCTAGGAGATGCCCAGCGCCATCCCCAGTGGTCCTGGTCAATGAGCCCACAGTATTTTTCAAAAACTTCCCAGGTGAGTCTAACATGCAGCCAAGCTTGAGAATCTCTGTGAAAAGGAAGATCAGAGGAGGAAGAGACTACTTCTAGCTGTGAACTGGGGAACCCAAGTGTAGCGGTAGCCACCTGCAAATAAAGAAGTGGGATTTGCAATCAAGACAGTGGACTGTAAAAAAAAAAAAAAAAAGAGTGGACTATAGTGTTGCCTGGCTTTTGTTAAAATGCAGATTCTCAGGCCCTATCGCCAAGCTACAGAATCCAAATCCTTAAGGTGCTTGATACATATTTTTACAGAATGTGAATGAACAAGTGGACCAGTAATCACTCCAATTTATAGATACCCAGGAGTCCTCACTTGAAACAGTTAATTGTCCTCTGCTTTCATGTTTCAAGAAGTACTTTGGGGGCAGGACTGAGGCTTCCTGGGATGAAGAAGAGAATTGAAATTTGGAAGAGTGCCCCCAAACATCCGGCCTCAAATCTTCTGGACTTCCATTCAGCTCTGCACTCTACCTTCCAACTGTCTTGGACTCCTCTGCAGCAGTCCGCCACGCCCAGTCATTCCAACCGCTGTAACTCACACTTACTCTCCACCTCCCTCAGGCTCAGTGGTCATGGTGTCTCTGCCGGCTGGCCCACCCCTGGGAACTCATCCCCAAATGAAAGAACAGAGAAGAGGGGCATGAACACTAGTGGAGGGCAAGAAGGGTAGTGGAGAGTAGACAGTAGGAGGCTGCGTGGAGTATCAGTAGGTCCAATGAAGAAATGTACTCTCATTACAAGAGCCTAAGCTCTGAAACCGGTCAGTCCCAGATTCAAATCCAGCTCTACCTCTCTAGGGAAGCTTTTCTGATTCTCTTATTTCTTCCTCTTTAAAAATGGGGATAATACCTCCTCGTGAGAGTCTGTGAACAGTTGATAAGATAATCTGTGTCAAGTTCCTAATAAAATATCTGGGAAATAGTACGGAAGCTGGTTCAGACAACAGATGCTCTAGGACTGTGCTGTCTATGATGGTAGCCATGAAGCACATATGGCTATTTAAATTAATTTAAAATTCAGTCGCTCAGTTGCCCTAGGCCAAGTGCTCAATGGCCATATGTGGCTAATGGCCACCACCAACGGATAGCACTTCCAGTATCACAGGAAGTTCTATTGGAGCACCGCTCTGAGTTAATAAGGGATACACCTAGGCCTGGGTAGACCAAAAAACTTCCTGAGCAGTGGGATTCAAGTTGAGTTTTGGAGACTGGATCAGCATTTGACCGTCAGAAGAAGAAAGAGGAAATTTCAAGTGTGGTTAAACACATGAAGAAAAACAAGGCACTCAGAGATCCAAGTCCTATTCTCTGTCCCCACATTTATACACGCCCTTGTGCGTCTTCGAGGCTGGCCTGGGACATTGGACAATCCCAGTGACTAATGATCATTCTGTCCATCCTGCTTTGAGCCCTCTTCTGTCTCTCACCATCTCTTCCCCCGCAGCCAGCCGGGCAATTTAGAAATCCACTGGGAAGCCCTTCCTCTAGGTCCATCTCAGAGGGACATGCCTGTCTCCGAATCATTGGGTGATTCGCTGGCGTCTGCACCAGGCCATCTGGGCTCTCAGTTCTTTGCTTTGCCTCCATCCAGTTCAGTGCTCGCTAGGACCAGAGTGCCCCTGATGCTGATGGCAGCAAACCCAGGCTTCCCGGCAGAGCCCGTAGACCCTTCCAGCAGCTGGGCTCTTCCCAGCATCCTACCCACTCCCTCATCGCCCTGCTCATGGTGCTTATCCCTCTCCAGCCAAGAGTCTCTGCCCTGGAAGACTCATCTCTTACCTCCTCCCTCTACAACGTCTAAGTGTCCTGCCCTTGTCCGAGCATTCACATACATCTCATTCTTCACATTTGAGATGCAGTTCTCTTTTCTCTAGCCACACTGTTACCGGCTTCCCCGATCGGGTTCAAAATTGTCTTCCCCAAAGCTCTTCCTGCTAAGCCCCATTCGTAAAGGGTTCCTGATCCCAGGGGACTCAGCCTGCCTCCGCTCACTTGCTGCCATTGCTGAGTCCTTCTGCTCATGCTGTCAAGCCCTCTTGTGTGGCACGTATCAGCTTCCCTCACTTGGCTAGTCACTCATTGAGGACAGGACCTTTCAACCATTTGATTGGAATCTTTTGAAGCAGTTCAGGCCTAAAGCAGAGCTCTGAGGGGCGCCTGGGTGGCTCAGTCGTTTGGGCGCCTGACTCTTGGTTTCGGCTCAGGTGATCTCAGGGTCGTGAGATTGAGCCCTGGGCCTGCTTGAGATTCTCTCTCTCCCTCTTCCTCTGCCCCTTCCCCCTCTAAAAACAAATAAACCAAACAGCTCTGAAATAGGGCCCCCCATTATATCCAGTGTCTCCTCCTTTTGCGAGTTCATTCTTTCAGAGCTCCCTTCCACCACATCTGCCCACCCACGATTTGTCCATGCAGGGATCCCTTCGATACCCATAGGCACAGTCTCATCATATCTCTGAGGGAGCAAGTATTTACTGCTGGCCTGACAAACAAGTTGATGCTAGTTGGACATGGATTGGTCTAGACCGGTGGTTCTCAACCCTGGTTGCACACTGGGATTCCCTGGGGGCCTTTGAAAAAATGTGGTTGTCTAGGCACTCTCCTACACCAGCTGCATCAGGATCTCTAGGGTGAGGCTGGGCTGGGCTGCTATCTTCCTTTCCCATCTCAGATAATATGAATAGACCATTTGCCCGAGCTGGGAAGACACTGGGAGCAGCAAGATGACAGAGTGTTTGAGAAAAGGGATTCGGGAGTGATGCTGTGTCAGTGTAAACGCCAGCCCCACCCGTGTCTGTGTGGTCCTGGGCCAGCTTCTGAACCTACCTGTCCCCTGCTCTGTAACCGCATCTCAGAATAATAGCACCTCCTCATGGGGCTGCCGCGCGCATCAAATGAGTTAATACTTGCCAAGTATTTAGCACTGCAGTGCAGGCATATCGGAAGTGCTGAGAGAGGTCTGCTATTTTTGTTCCTTCTCTCCAACTTTCTCCCCAGTATTGTTTCTGAACCCCCTTTCTGCTCCTCCTTCCTCTTACCAAAGCCCCATTTCGGGCCTCGTGTGGGGCCGTGCAGTGCCAGGAGAGCATGTGATGGTACAGGGAATGTTGGGGAGACACATCCCCGAAGGTACCTTCTCCACTGCCTTCTCTGCCCATGCTCGGAACTGCCCAAAGAGGAGGGTGAAGTGGGTGACAGGCCAGTTGGGAACCAAAAAGCAGCCCTCCACGATCCCCTGTGAGGGCTCTCCTTATGTGCCTTTACCCCCACCCCAGGTGCAGGGCTGGATCAAAAGCTGAACTGGGGGACAGTGGCAGCCGCAGAGATACCCCAGATGAGTCAAGACTTCCTTGCCTCACCCTACCCTGGCATGAATGCATGGGTCTGTAACTGCAGCAGCTTTCCCAGTGCCATCTGACATTTCTGCTGGATTTGCTTCCGTACCTAGCAGAGCCCTCCATAAACTCTGCTCAATGTAGGGAGGGAGGGTGGGATGTGGGGGTGGTGTTTGGAGGGTGAGAGGGGCAGACCGGACCAGAAAGGGTGGATTGTTTGACCATGGGTAGTCCTAAGATTCCCTTCTGAGGATGGGCAAGTATACCCCAAAAGGGAAGCAGGAGGACCCCAAAGGAAACACTTCCATCTACTTCAAAGTTTTGCCCAGATCCAGCTCAGGAGTAACAACAAATGGAAATGAGCAGAATGCAGGCTGCAGATAAGCAGACACCCCTAGGGACAGTCCACCCCACCCGCTTTTACAT